GAGGAGGAGGAGGAGAAACGCCAGCGTGCAAGCTTCATTGCGAGGGAGCTGGCTCGCCGCAGGCAGTCTCAAACAGCAGCCGATGTGCCGAAAGTGCGTACCAAATCGCTTCAGTATCTGTCCATTTTTTTATAACGTCGGTTGTTTTACATTTCTTTGTCCGCTTTTATCCTCCTCCTCCTCCTCACTCAACAAGATTTGTCAAACTAACTCACAGAAGTTAAAATTATATCTTTTGGACTTCTAAGTCAGGCTTCCCTTTCCATTACATTGTATATGACCCTTTGTTTCTCAGAAATATGAAGCCAAAAGTGGACTGTTTCTGTGGAGTCTTCAGCCGGCATTATAAAATTGCATTGCCAACCAGACTTCCTTCATTCTCGTAGTCTTAATTTAAGAAGGAAATTCATAACTGATGACTGTTTTGCCAACTTTGCGCTGTCTCAGAATCCATCTGCTAAAAGTCATTTGGCCATTAAGATCTAAGCTCTGTATACAGTTATTAGTACACTATTAGTCATTTAGTTGTAGTTAATACTGAAAAGGAAAACCCTTTACTTAAATCGTTCCGTTGCATTCGGATTACCATCTATATACTCCTCTATCTTCTATCTATCCCCGAGACGGTGGCATTCTCATATGTATATGTACTTAAATATATACTTATGTACCTACTATATGTAATTCACTAGGCGTAGCTATGCTTATTACGGCACTTAAAAACCCGGAAATTTTAAGCTTACTATGGTTACTTTTGATTTTATTAGTTTCAATTTAGTTTTTAGTTTACTGGTTTACTTTTAGTTATAGATCTAGTTAGCTTAATTTTTTAACTCAATTCAATTTTTAAGCAACATACGGTTGCTTGTCGGCTTATCATACTACAATATCTGTCCAAATACACCAGAACTTATTGCGATTTTAAAAAAGGGCAAAAAGCCTATCTTTCATTGTTTTGTTTTAAGCTCTAAATTTCGATACATAGTCTTCATTGGTTTGTAGCCTATTTGCAGGTACTTTTTGCGCAGATCTTGTTTCCTATTAGTTGTATTTGTCATTTCAATTATCGCACACAAATTTTTGGTTATTAAAATAAATAATTCCCACTATTGTCGGCTTTTATACGCTAAACTTTTTTAGTTTATTTGCTCTCTCGTGATATGACCTAAATATAAAACCCCTATGAAAACCGCTCCCGTAAGACACAATGATGGGGCCAGCGATATCTAAACACCTAGACACATGAGAATGTTGCCCCCAAGCCATCCCGCCTTTCCGAGAGAAGAAAATGCTGGCGTGATTACATTCACCCAAGTCTTGCCTCATATCTTCACATAAGGTTAACAGTGGCTTACTTCTTTCAGGTTGCCTGGATGTCAGCTGCCCTGGACTCGCCGCTGATTGATCCGGAGAATAAAACAGTAACTGGATTGACGGGCAAGTATCGGGACCAAACCCTGCAACTTCTGATCATTG